AGGTTGTAGGGCTGCGTTACGAAAGCAGTACAAGGGGGAGGGACGGGGGCGAAAAATTGGAAAAAGTGCGTTACGTCATCCTTGAATGGTCCCTAACTACAGCGCAATTCAGTTTGAGGGTGAGACTCCCGGCACTCGATCCCACGATGAAGTCCAGTGGCGTGGCGTGAATTGCGACCTTTCGATTGTTATATCATTTAAACCTATGGTAATAAATCGATCATTAAGGTGTTCGCTGCGAACACCCAGTTTATCGATTCTTTTCCATAGGTTTAAATGGCATAACAATCGATATATCGCAATTCACGCCACGCCACTGATGAAGTCCTCGTTCCCGCCGGAAGGGAAGTTTGGAACCGTTGACCGAGGCGAAACGGCAGACAGAGATCACTCTAGTGTGACTTGAACGGCCCCCGAAAGAGATACGGAGAGAAGATTATGCAAACTTGAGGCGCCGAAAATTTCTCCATCCGGTTCGCTCCCGCACAACTCGTAATTTGGAGCGAGTGAGCGAATTTGAATCCTCGTGCAGGGCTCTCCGTTTGCTCTGAGCACTGTAATTGCATCAGACCCCGCTCCCGTGAACGTCGCGAGATGAGACGCATAAAACACAAGGACCTCCGCGCTAAGCATAAACCCCGCAAGAACATTCTGAAATTGTCAAATTGCCTTTCACATGATTTCAATTTACTATAGTATCCATGCATACTTTCCCAGAAAAATTTCAAAAAAAATTACTTGCAATTGAACTTAGTGTACTTGAAAATACCACGGAATAATATTCATACCTTTTCGCAGAAATAATTACTTTATCTAGAGAAGTTTGGCAACATACGGATGTCCATACAGCGTTCTTCCTTGGCAGCGAAGAGGGCTCCTTCGCGTTAGTGAAGACGTGGCACCCCTCTCTTCACGGCTCACAGTTATGGAGATCAGCTACGCCGTCGGTTAGTTACTTTTCGGTGCCGGGTCCTGGTGTTGTGCTTTTTGCAGTCCTGGATTTTGCAGGCGCAAACACTGACAAAAGAAATGTGTGCACCCGCTCTCGCTGCCAGCGCACGGCAGAATCCGCTAATTTTAAGTGCGCTTCGCTGCTCACCGCTGCTTTTTATGGCAACTGTGTCAAGTCAGCGAGCTGTTATAATTGGTGAGTAAAGCGTTGTGCGCCGAAATTTCACAGGAGTGGAGTCCACGGTTGTCTAATGTCCTTAGGTAAGCCTCCCGTTTCATGCCAGGTTATCGAATGGCTCGTATTCAATAGTCGATTCGATGTGTCGTTTGGTTCAAAACAATAGAGCATAACCTCGAACAAAAATTTTAGGATTGAGGTAGAAAAACTGAAAAACAGAAAATTCCCAACAATTTCATTTTCGATTGCCATGTGGTACTCATGAGAATCAAAAATCTCTCACAAAAACCCAAAACCAAAAGCTAGAGATTCACATATCGACGATGAGCCTACCAGACCACGTATCTCGGTTTGTGATGTTGGAGCCTTCTCGCATACTTTAATTTTTAATGTAAAATCACTCAACGTCAATTCTTAAAAACTTACGAGACTTTTCCTCTCTGTGCGAAGAAAACTCTGTGAAAACTACAAGGATGATATTGATTCGTTCTCCTTCAAAAAAATAACATGGAAGCGGCGATTTTGAAACCCGTAAATGAGATACCTGGTCTGGTAATTCCACCGGCGATTTGTAAAGATTCAACGCATAAAAAATAAAACATTACGCTTTGTTTTTGTGTAGCATCACGCTGTTCCAGACTCTCTCTTTAACATGATTTGAAATCTGGGAGTGAAATCCTCAAGCAACCAGAGAGTGACATGAGAGCGGAGCGGTTATCTTTTTTTGTGGCGTTCACTGGAAAAAAACACAATGGATCTAGAGTCCATACTTTTGAAAACATTGACAAGAAAAAATACTCTTGATTCAATCGGAATTTTGCTTGAATCAAAACGAAATCCGCTTAAATTAAGAGGCTTAGTTATTGATATTAGCTAAATTCTGATTGAATCAAGAGTACTTTTTCTTGTCGATGTTTTTAAGAGTCTGAACTCTAGATCCAATGTGTTTTTTTTCCAGCTAGTGTTTGTTTTCACTCTTGCAGAGCGAATTTCATTCTGTATCCTGTTGAGCCGCGGATTTGACTCCGAGATTTCAAACAATGCACTCCTTTCGTCACACATTCATCACGTAACCTGCCCCCAGTCCCGCGGAGGCATGGCATGATTTACAAGGCCCTTTAGGCGGAGCAAGTGCCCACGTTCGTAACAAGTTACTCTAATGTGGAGGACGTAAATAACCGACGGCTGATCGTGCAGCGGGGGTGTTCCCGTGCCGACTAAAACAGACATAAAAGCGATTGTAAGGTGTCGAGTTGGGCTTATTTATAGGCGCAGGGATGAAAGTCGAAACTATTTTCATGTCTGTAGGCCATTGGAGGCCTGCCTCGGAAAATTAGAATATAATCTAGGATCTTCTGGACTCGGCTCGGGCCGTTTGAGAGACTGCGAGCTTTCTGAGCTTTCGGGCTCGCGGAAAGTTGGTCCGCTTGCGTGCCGCGTGTGGCGTGCGCCGTCGCCGCGACGCCCACGGATCTCATTACCCACCAACTAGTTGCTAAACACGTTCCCATCCAAACAGGTATCCTCTCCCGCTGAGGTTTTCACCAGTGGCGTGGCGTGCTTTGCGATATATCGATTGTTATGCCATTTAAACCTATGGAAAAGGATCGATAAACAGGGTGTTCGCAGCGAACACCTCAATAATTGATTATTTACTATAGGTTTAAATGGCATAACAATCGATATATCGCAATTCTTTCCACGCCACTGGTTTTCACGCGAAAAATCTCCCAGCGGCCCGATCATCAAAACTGTGTCGATGCGGCAAGAAAGATAAGACCCTATCTTAACCCCGATGTAAGTGAAACGTAGGTATGCTGTTGCCAACTAGAGTCCCTTCATACTGAGAGTCAAGACAACACCCCCTCATGGAGTCACAAACGGGAATAAAGATTACACAAATTGAACGTTTTTCGTAATCTTTGATCGGCCCATTCTCAGATTCCTTTCTCCGTTCCCTCTCTCATTCCGTTTGTTCTTTGTCGAACCCGTAATTCCTCGGTCCACTCCAGATTATAATCTTTGCAATTGGTGAAAATGTAATCTTTATTCCCGTTTGTGACACTGTGGAGGCCTAAAATACGGTAACCAATCAGAGATGGATTCACATTGTCTTGACTCTCAGTATAAAGGGACTCTATTGCCAACCTCTTTCACCGAAACTTAGCACAATGGATCGAGTCAACAGGAGGGGTCGGACAAAATTCGGGAACTTTAAACGCTTATATCTCCGTTTATGCAAAACTTTGAGGTTCTGAGAGTGATTCCATTTGTTTCTTACTGAACTTTTCTGCTAGAAACACCCCTTTAAGTTTAAAATGTGAAGAAATAAACATCAAAATCTGCAGTTTAAGTCAAAAATTGGATGTCCGACCTCCCCAGTTGACTCGATCCACTGTGCGTAGGTTTTCGCTCCCGCCACCAGAGCTGTGGCGTGATATTTGAATCTCAACAACTTTGCAGTCTCGGCCGACAGAGCACAGAGGGGAATTTCATGAGCCGCCCTGCGCCGTCCGCAGCGCGCATGGCGCACGACCTGCCTGTCATTATTACACTTTATCTAGCGTTGAGAGTTCACGTATTACTTCACACGACCGGTGTATGATCTTTTAAGTCAAAAATTAAAAAAAAAAAATCGAAAAAAGAAAAAAAAATACACGATATACGAGTTTCTCCACCACGCAGCTCTCCTCGCAAGAAATCGTTCACCACCCGCTCGTCGGGGGCGCTGCAGCGTGCTGCCCGTGCGTAGCGCGCACCAGCGCCTACAAACCTAAGGGGATACTTCAAGCATTGCGCAATGCGTGACGTATTCCCTTAGGTTTGTAGGCGTCAGTGGCTCAGTGCGCGTTTCGAGCTGTCAGCGCAGCGGCAGCACGCAGCACGGCGCGCCGCGCCGCAGCGTGCCATAAACTTGTCCACGATTAATAGGTCAGGGTGTTAAAATGTAAGCAATTTGACATCAAATTCAAAATTAGAGACTCAAAAAAAAATCAGTTACGAAATTTTCGTGATCCCTCAGTCATTATCCGACTCATTTCTTTTTATTCTTGTGTTTTGGACCATAGTGCGCCGCGGGCGGCGGCGCTCATGAAATTCTCCCTTGCCCCTGTGTTCAATCGAGTCTTGGCCGAAAACAAAAAAAACCGTCTGCAGTTGATAAAAGTGAAAAACAATCGCAATACTAAAAGCAAACGCATTTTTACTTTTAAAGAATACGTTTGAGTTGAATTTGTTCGTTTTTATCATCAGTAGACAGTTATATTTGTCTTCGGCCAAGACTGCAAAATTGTTGAAATTCAGAACTCGTGCCATGTCTCTGGAGGCGGGAACGAAGAACTGCGTTCCGGCCGAAGGTGTCTACAAGAACATACCTACGATTCACATACCTTGATCTTGACCATACAATACATTGTACAATACATTCGATGTCTTGTCGTGCTGACATAAAATTCCACGATCAACCCGCAGATAAGAAATATACGATTTCCTCTTTATCAACACCATTAATGCAGGGTTAGAAGGCTCTATGCAGATGGTGAAAGTTGGAAAAAAGGCATCACAGTGAATCTGTTGCAAATTTCTGCAAAAGCGGAAAAGTCAGTCGTGTCTAATGGTCAAATGGTCTAATGGTCAAATGGTCTAATGGTTCAAACATCACGACGAGGACATTGTAAAAGTCCTAAATTATTTTCCAACTTCAGAGTCTACTTAAGAAGTGTCCGCATTTTGCCTCAAATAATATACTGTCACTCAGACGTAATCTGACATGGATCATCCAAGATTTCGTTGCGATTCTAATTTTTCAGTGCAAATCAATGCACGGTGAAATCTTTGCAAAATTTTCAATCGTGTGTGGTCTTTGTTCCAGATGCAGCAAGGTGTCCTAGTCTGTGTGCTGTTGCTTGCCTGCCACTCTAGACAAGGTAAGAAATCAGAATTAAATGAAGGGGGGATGGAGATCGACTTATAGTCTCTCCAATCATCTGACTATAAAAAATAATTTCAATTAATCTGGTTCAAATAAAATATCACATTTCCTTGAACATACACGGTAGAATTTTCACAGAAATTCAAAATTAGATACCATGGAGAGAATGAACTTTGAACCGATGAACCGATTTAAGTGATGGAACTTTGAGGATTCTCAAAAGTTGTTTATGATATGCTGACTTTAATGCTCCTTATTCATACATAACGTATCGGAAAACTAACTGAAAAAAAACTGTATAACAATGTGTTTTCGATAATTAATTTTTGATCCCTTATATGTGACTGTTCACGCGAGCTTCAGACTCAGCCCGCAGAGGTAGATATTTATGTACCCATCTTATTTTTGGAAGAACCTACGCTTAGTACAATAATGAATTTATTTAGCGTGAGAAATTTGACGTATTCCAAGATATGAGATGAGCAATAAAGTGATGAATCCAGGGGAAGCTTAAACGAAAGTTTAAAATTTCACTTGTTAAAAAGCCGGAAGTATAGGTAATTTGTCATAACTCAGGTCTGAATGAGAGTACTAGCATTCTCATTTTCGTAAATACCTTTATCTTGAATGCAAATAATCATTTGTATTGGAGGTGAGGTGGGCATAAAAACAATGTATTCGTCATCATCTGGTGAACCGGCAGCCAACATTGTGAATCGTAATTCATTAGAAAGTTGAGCGTTCATTTCAACGGAAATTCGGTTTTTTTCTCCAGCTTTGATATTTGTAGTTTTCGACACACAAACTACACTGAAAAATCTACCTCCATCGTAATTTTAATGCGACTTGCTCTGTTTACACGATGGTTCACATTGAAATAGTTTTAAACTGACCTGCATAAAAAAATCTGGAATACCATTTGCAATTGTCGCTTGAGAGTTTGATTCCGCGAGCTCGTTTTTTATTCGCGATTTTTTGCCGCATATTCGAAACATAAAATACATCGTCAAAAATTGAACTTTCCACCATCACAAAGCACCGAAGTTTCATTTCAACTTTCACACTAACGAGATCGTGCGGTTTTGTAACTGTGATACCGGGAGTAAATGAACAGGAACATTTCCGCAAAAGTTTCCCCGGTAATTTCGCGTTTTAATAAAAGTTATTCAATTCTTGACTTTTGCTGGTATCTGATAATAAAAAGTTGTAATAACCTTGTGCTGCTACGGCTCTCAACTGCGCGAGAAAGCTCAGCACATCTGGAGCTTTTGTTGCAATTTTTTGACTTCCATATTGTATAATTCAAATTGCTGCCTCACTTCGGGTTATCGATATTCTTTGGAAAGCTTGTTGCGCACTTGCTTCGAATGTTTAACAGGAAACCAGGCGTACAGGCATTAGCAGAATTTTTGGGAAAAACAAGAGAAAAATTTAAGTAGTTTCAGGAACAAATGATTTTAAAGCTCACGTTTGTTTGGTTTGTCACTCTCTTTGCTATCAAGGCAGAATATTCAGTCCCGGAAAAAGGGATTGGCCAGATAACGATTACAGCATGAAGTAAAAACGCCTTCATTCCCGAAACCCGCAACCTTAATTGACATTAAAGTATGGATGAGTGCCTATCCGAGTGTAAATACGGATTTACGGCATTATGAGGTCATCAGGAACAAGAAATTCTTCAAAATTCCACTTTGGCTTAGTCTTCTCCTCGTTTTCAATTCTGTTAGGGAAAACCGGCATTTTCACCTTATGCGCAAGTGTATTCTTTTCAGCTCAGGAAGGCAAAATTTTATGATAAATTTATCTTGAAATGTAGCATCCGCAGCAATTGCAGCTACAAATCCAGCACCCGGAACTTTCGGACTTGGAGCCCAGAGCAGACGGTATGTCTATACAGCCGTGATTTCTTTTTTTTTCAGTTTAGTAGCAAGTGCTGAGGGAAATACACGAGCACAATCTGGAGACGTTGAATGGTATTATCGGACGGATTTCGCGTTCAACGGCCGGAACATTTGCAAGTTGGCCCCGTTTGGCGACTACGCGAGACGCACGCGCGGAATGGAGATGTTGCATGTGTGAGGAATTTGCGATTTGACTGTTGATTCTCATGTAGAAGTTCGCGAGAAACACGATGGAGCCACTGGTTTTCTCTGAAATCAACTCCCAAGCTCAAAAAAAGCTCTCAAGTTGAGGCCAAAATGGAGAGAATATCCTACGCTGAGAGTCCACCTCTACAACAAGACAAACTCTCCATGCAAAGATAGGGAGCAAATACATTGACAGGGCTGCCTCTTCATTTGGGGACTCCAATACTGAACACACGGCATCACTGCTAATGTATTTTCTCCCTATCTTTGCATGGAAAGTTTGTCTTGATGTAGAGGTGGACTCTCAGGATAGCGTGGGATATCCCCTCTGTTTGGCCTCAACTTGAGAGCTTTTTTTGAGCTCGGGAGTTGATTTCCGAGAAAACCAGTGGCACCATCGTGTTTCTCGCGAACTTTTACAGAAGAATCCACAGTCAATTCGCAAATTCCTCACACATGCAACATCTCCATACACGAGCACAATCTGGAAACGTTGAATGGTAGTATCGGTCGGATTTGGCGTTCAACGGCCGGAACATTTGCAAGTTGGCCCCGTTTGGCAACGACGCGGGACGCACGCGCGGAATGGAGATGTTGCATGTGTGAGGAATTTGCGATTTGACTGTTGATTCTTATGTAAAAGTTCGCGAGAAACACGAAGGTGCCACTGGTTTTCTCTGAAATCAACTCCTAAGCTCAAAAAAAGCTTTCAAGTTTAGACCAAAATTGAGGGGATATCCCACGCTATCTTCAGAGTCCATCTCTACATCAAGACAAGCTCTCCATGCCATGATAGGGAGCAAATGCATTATCAGGGTTGCCGTGTTTTCAGTTTTAGAGTCCCCGCCAAATAAAGTGGCAGCCCTGTCAATGTATTTGCTCCCTATCTTTGCATGGAGAGTTTGTCTTGATGTAGAGGTGGACTCTCAGGATAGCGTGGGATATCCCCTCCATTTTGGCCTCAGCTTGGGAGCTTTTTTTTGAGCTTGGGAGTTGATTTTCGAGAAAACCAGTGGCACCATCGTGTTTCTCGCAAACTTTTACATAAGAATCAACAGTCAAATCGCAAATTCCTCACAAATGCAACATCCTGATTTCTGTGTATTTCCCTCAGCACTTGCTACTAAACTGAAAAAAAAGAAGTTACGGGCTGTATGGACATACCGTCTGTTCTGGGCTCAGAGTCCGAAAGTTCCGGGTGGTGGATCTGTAGCTGCGATTGCTCCGGATGCTACATCCGGAACGCGGACGTAAACTTTTACATAAGAATCAACAGTCAAATCGCAAATTCCTCACACATGCAACATCTCCATACACGAGCACAATCTGGAAACGTTGAACGGTATTATCGGACGGATTTGGCGTTCAACGGCCGGAACATTCGCAAGTTGGCCCCGTTTGGCGAGGACGCGGGACGCACGCGCGGAATTGCCGTCAATTTGGGCGGGAAGGCGCGGATGATAAAGTTGTTATTGGGCATTATCTGCGTCGAACTTGATTATCCGGGCCCGGGCTCCGCGCGCGGCTTTATTTGATTTTTCGACGGGCGGATCCGGCGAATCGGGCCAAGACGCTCATTCATCGGCGTCGTCGACGCGCCCCGCGCCCAAATTTTCTTTCGCGCCAATTTATTCATTCCCGCCACCGCCGCCGCCGCCACCGTCGCCGCCGTTGTTTACGCCTTTGATTGATGAATATTGGATTAATTGTTACCGTCAACACTTCCGGCCCCGATCCACGCAGCTCCACCCCACTATCCGGTGTTGCCAATTCTCCTCCGCTCATTTTCACTCTTACTTTGAAAGGTTTACAGTCCTTTCATACTGAGAGGAAAAACAGTGCTCCCATTTTCCCGGAGCTAGTTCCAAATTCCGGAACTTTTGAAATTTTCCTGGATTTTTCCCGGAGCTAGTTCCGAATTCCGGAACTTTTGAAATTTTCTTGAATTTCTCCTGGAACTTTTGGAATAGAGAATTTTCAGGTGTCTGAAATTTTGTTTTTACCTTTAAAATGACACTGCTAGGGAAACTTAGTACGATGATATTCTTGATTTCTAAATTGGGTAATTATTGGAGGAAATATGACATAGTAACCCAATCTGCTAAAATCCATGTGTTCAAATGGAAGATGCCGCCAGATGACGTTATTAGGCGGCACATTTTCTCACGTTTAAATCTATTTTTCTCCAAATTCCCATGTCAGAAAAAAAGTATGAAAAATACCGCGTACTCAGCTCATTAAGCACTCTTAGATTCCCTGCATCACAGTGCCGATAGTCATTTGACCATGTCGTAAAATTAGTTTTGACCGATGCGACCCGTGTCCAGCGAACATCCGCAGGATCTGTAAATACGCCATGTTTTTATAGAAATCTCGCCCTTCAAGACACTTCGACTGCACCTTTTTAATTCATCATTAGAGGAATAATGCTCATCCGCTAATGCAGGACGTGCGAAATTTGTGGATACCGATTCTTTTGCGGAGCATTGCTCAAATAGGTCTTATGATTTTGAACAACGACACCTAACCATGAAAACATGGTTCTAAATAGAGGCGCAGTGTAGAGGGAAGAGTGCTGTCCCTAGATTCCTTCGTAACCCAAAATTTTCCCTCAATCAAGTCACCACCTTAAAGTTCGAGTAATCCTAAACCTCAGGATCGCTTCCGAAATATGCTTGACCTGGACTCCTCCGATTGAAAAAAATTGTTCGTTACACTCCTGATCCTGTTACACGCATGAGGTAGATTTAATTACGTAAAACCTAGGTGAATTTCTGACGAGTCGGCAACATTGCCTGGATTATAAATGAACCGTTTTGCGCCTCGCGGGGACTCTCAAAGCATTCCGCACCGCTTTATGCGCCCAATGACACTGTTTGCGTATTGTTTATCGCAGAGCGTCGACAGA